AGGGGATGTCCAATTGACTACTGATGGGTTTTGGGTCTCCACTCCGCTCTCCGCCTCATTCACATTGTTATAATTTTTTTGTTTTTGTTTTGTTTTGGGTCTTTGATGCCTGATAACTGATCCTATGGACACCTCATGATCACACAGGCTGGTGTGCTTCTTCCTTGTGGGCTTTGTTGCTTTCAGCTAGAAAGCCACTTGTTTATCTTCAAGTCTTTAAGACCCCAGACACTATAGTTTTTGATAGCCAGCCACCATCAGCTTTCTTCACTACATTTGTTTTTGCACCCATTTTGTTTTCAGTGATCATGCGGGGAAGGTGAGCATCCCAGAGTGCCAGGTTAGTAGAGCAAAATGTTCTTGCATTGAGAGAGTACTGGAGTAGAGGCCCAATGTCCATCTGCTGCCATCATATTTTATAAATAAATGTATGTACATAGATCTTTTCCCCTATCATTATCTATAAATACATTTACATATATACTGCCTGTATTTAGACCGCTATAAATGGCCTTTGCCTCCCACTTCTTTCCTCTTTTTTTTTTTACTTTCCTCTTGTCCCCATATCATGTTCCACCTTCATTTGGGTTTCAGTAGTTCCTCTACATTGCCCTTGATTCAGCTCCCTGCAGCATCCTATGTCCTCCTCACCATAATTTTAGATCACATGTTCCCTTGTTCCTAGGTGTATTGGCATCCCCCATCCTTTCCCCCAACTGTCCCTCTCCCGTATCCCCCACCCCCTGAACCCTGGGTCCCATTGTTCTATCCTCCGGATTGTTCATCCTGCCTATCTTGCCCAGATAGACATGCAGAGACAACAATACGTGCAAAAACAAAGCAAAGCGAAACATAGCAACAAAAGAAAACAAACCAACAACTAAGACAAGAAAAGAAAAGCCCTCAAATAGACCTTTATGAGTGTTTTCCAGTCGAGTCTGATGAGGTGCCACGCCCTGTCCCCACAGTCCACCTTTGGCATTCCTCGGGACTTCATTGCTTTCCATCCCTTGCTGCTCTGCTGCACTCCCTTAGCGGGTCACTCCAGTGCAATGGGGTCAGATCAGGCACATCGCCTGCACTGTGTCCCCAGTGCTGTCCC